TTTTAAATCACACAGGAGCAAAACACAACATTATCTTTACTACACAACACAGAGTACTACACACACAGTACTACACAGAGTACTACAGACACAGTACTACACAGAGTACTACACAGAGTACTTCACACAGAGTACTACACACAGAGTAATGCACACAGAGTACTACACAGAGTAATACACACAGAGTACTACACACAGAGTAATACACACAGAGTACTACACACAGAGTAATACACACAGAGTACTACACACAGAGTACTTCACACAGAGTACTACACACAGAGTAATGCACACAGAGTACTACACACAGAGTAATACACACAGAGTACTACACACAGAGTAATACACACAGAGTAATACACACAGAGTAATACACACAGAGTAATACACACAGAGTAATACACACAGAGTACTACACACAGAGTACTACACACAGAGTAATACACAGATTACTACACAGAGTAATACAGACAGAGTACTACACAGAGTAATACACACAGAGTACTACACACAGAGTACTAAACACAGAGTAATACAGACAGAGTACTACACAGAGTACTACAAACAGAGTAATACACACAGAGTACTACACAGAGTACTACACAGAGTACTACACACAGAGTACTACTCAGAGTACTACACACAGAGTAATACACAGAGTACTACACAGAGTACTACATACAGAGTACTACACAGAGTACTACACACAGAGTAATACACACAGAGTACTACACAGAGTACTACACACAGAGTACTACAAAGAAAATTACACAGAGTAGTACACACAGAGTAATACACAGAGTACTACACACAGAGTAATACACACAGAGTACTACACACAGAGTACAACACAGAGTACTACACAGAGTACTACTCAGAGTACTACAGAGGGACATGGAGCTGCTTCAGGAGAAGACAGAGTTCCAGAATTTTACCCAGAGCCGTCTGTGAAAGTCATCAGTGTCTAACAACATTAGACTGAGGAGAGGAGGAGGCGGAGGAGGAGGAGGAAGAGGAGGAGGCGAAGGAGGAGGAGCCAAAGGAGAAGCCAGAGGATGAGGAGGAGGAGGAGAAGCCAAAGAAGAAGCCAGAGGAGGAGAAGCCACAGGAGGAGATGAAGCCAGAGGAGGAGAAGCCACAGGAGGAGATGAAGCCAGAGGAGGAGAAGCCACAGGAGGAGATGAAGCCAGAGGAGGAGAAGCTCCTCCTCCTGCTCTTACAGTAATGAGGACTCCAGTGAAAGATGTCTTTGAGGTGAAGGTCAACAGTGAGAGGCCTAAGGGGTCCACTGCTCAGACACGCTCTGCCTCTGCCCTGGACTCACTCAGCTGGACCTCCTCCTGTGTCTGTGGACCAGGGCTGCACCTCCTCCTGTGTCTGTGGACCAGGGCTGCACCTCCTCCTGTGTCTGCGGACCATGACTGCACCTCCACCTGTGTCTGCGGACCATGACTGCACCTCCTCCTGTGTCTGCGGACCAGGGCTGCACCTCCTGCTGTGTCTGCGGACCATGACTGCACCTCCTCCTGTGTCTGCGGACCAGGGCTGCACATCCTCCTGTGTCTGCGGACCATGACTGCACCTCCTCCTGTGTCTGAGGACCATGACTTCACCTCCTCCTGTGTCTGCGGACCATGACTGCACCTCCTCCTGTGTCTGCGGACCATGACTGCACCTCCTCCTGTGTCTGCGGACCAGGGCTGCACCTCCTGCTGTGTCTGCGGACCATGACTGCACCTCCTCCTGTGTCTGCGGACCAGGGCTGCACCTCCTCCTGTGTCTGCGGACCATGACTGCACCTCCTCCTGTGTCTGAGGACCATGACTTCACCTCCTCCTGTGTAGGCGGACCATGACTGCACCTCCTCCTGTGTCTGCGGACCATGACTGCACCTCCTCCTGTGTCTGCGGACCAGGGCAGCACCTCCTCCTGTGTCTGTGTACATGTCTGTGTATGTGCAGTCTATGTGTAGTGTACACTGCAAAAAATGATACTGGTCCTGGCGCTGGTCCTGGTCCTGGTCCTGGTCCTGGTACTGGTCCTGCTCCTGGTCCGGCTGTAGCACATGTGAGTGACAGGAGCAGAGATCTGGGCGTGAAAGACGTCTTCTTCAGGTGTTTGGAGAAAGTGATGCAGTGAGTTTAGCTGGAGGCCAAGTCCTCACCTTTCACCTGCGCTGATCCTCTGAGGGAGCAGGAGGAGGAGGAGGAGGTGGAGGTGGAGGAGGAGGAGGTGGAGGAGGAGCTGGGGGAGCTGTCCACTCGTATATCTGTCTCTGACTTCTAACACGGCCAAGTCCCAACACGTGAGCTCTCCTCAGGCCTAATGTGTTCAACTCAACCACGACTGAAGAGAGACCAGAGAGAGACCAGAGAGAGACCAGAGAGAGACCAGAGAGAGACCAGAGAGAGACCAGAGAGAGAGCAGAGAGAGACCAGAGAGAGACCAGAGTGAGACCAGAGAGAGACCAGAGAGAGAGAGCAGAGAGAGACCAGAGAGAGACCAGAGAGAGACCAGAGAGAGACCAGAGAGAGACCAGAGAGAGAGACCAGAGAGAGACCAGAGAGAGACCAGAGCGAGACCAGAGAGAGAGAGCAGAGAGAGACCAGAGAGAGACCAGAGAGAGACCAGAGAGAGACCAGAGAGAGACCAGAGAGAGAGACCAGAGAGAGACCAGAGAGAGACCAGAGAGAGACCAGAGAGAGACCAGAGCGAGACCAGAGAGAGACCAGAGTGAGACCAGAGAGAGACCAGAGAGAGACCAGAGAGAGACCAGAGAGAGACCAGAGGGAGACCAGAGAGAGACCATAGAGAGACCATAGAGAGACCAGAGAGAGACCAGAGAGAGAGACCAGAGAGAGACCAGAGAGAGACCAGAGAAAGACCAGAGAGAGAGACCAGAGAGAGACCAGAGAGAGACCAGAGAGAGAGACCAGAGAGAGACCAGAGAGAGACCAGAGAGAGAGACCAGAGAGAGACCAGAGAGAGACCAGAGAGAGACCAGAGAGAGAGACCAGAGAGAGACCAGAGAGAGACCAGAGAGAGACCAGAGAGAGACCAGAGAGAGACCAGAGAAAGACCAGAGAGAGAGACCAGAGAGAGACCAGAGAGAGAGACCAGAGAGAGACCAGAGAGAGACCAGAGAGAGAGACCAGAGAGAGACCAGAGAGAGAGACCAGAGAGAGACCAGAGAGAGAGACCAGAGAGAGACCAGAGAAAGACCAGAGAGAGAGACCAGAGAGAGACCAGAGAGAGACCAGAGAGAGACCAGAGAGAGACCAGAGAGAGACCAGAGAGAGAGACCAGAGAGAGAGACCAGAGAGAGACCAGAGAAAGACCAGAGAGAGAGACCAGAGAGAGACCAGAGAGAGACCAGAGAGAGAGACCAGAGAGAGACCAGAGAGAGACCAGAGAGAGAGACCAGAGAGAGACCAGAGAGAGACCAGAGAAAGACCAGAGAGAGACCAGAGAGAGAGACCAGAGAGAGACCAGAGAGAGACCAGAGAGAGACCAGAGAGAGAGACCAGAGAGAGACCAGAGAGAGACCAGAGAGAGACCAGAGAAAGACCAGAGAGAGAGACCAGAGAGAGACCAGAGAGAGAGACCAGAGAGAGACCAGAGAGAGACCAGAGAGAGAGACCAGAGAGAGACCAGAGAGAGACCAGAGAGAGAGACCAGAGAGAGACCAGAGAGAGACCAGAGAAAGACCAGAGAGAGACCAGAGAGAGACCAGAGAGAGACCAGAGAGAGACCAGAGAGAGACCAGAGAGAGACCAGAGAGAGACCAGAGAGAGACCAGAGAGAGACCAGAGGGAGAGACCAGAGAGAGATCACATAGGGACCGGAGAGAGACCAGAGAGAGACCAGAGAGAGACCAGAGAGAGAGACCAGAGGGAGACCAGAGAGAGACCAGGGAGAGACCAGAGAGATTGATTGTGTTTAAAACCAACGGGACAAACACATTTAGTCTTATTTCATGAACTGTTGCTTTACTTCCTCATTCCAAAGAAGACATTTCTGTTTCTTTTTAAAACAAGATCATTTTGTTTTGTCCTATTGGAGACTCTGGTTTTAAGGCTAAGTCACAATGTGCTCAGATACATTTTGGCAAATTTGAGCATTTTTTGACTTATTTTTTACCCCTTTCTGCAGTGTTTTACATAACATTGAAAGCCTGAACAGCGGTGATGATGAAGACGACAATCACAGCCTCGCGTTTACACAACATTCATCATTTGGACAGAGATATTTCCACTTTCTACAAGAGGCAAGACTTGACCTCTGACCTCTGACCCTCACTGACTCTCACCGCCGCAGGAGAGACTTGAAAAGACAAAATAGTACATGAACACGGATCACATCTGTCTCATCAGGGGGACTGACAGGTCTTCACCTCACAGAGAGAGAGAGAGAGAGAGAGAGAGAGAAAAGAGAGAGAGATTCTTTCTCTCCAAACACGGTGGTGATAAACTACTGCCACAGCTGCCCTGAGGCACACTGACAGCAGCGAGGCAACCAGTCTGTGCCATCGGCCCTCCCACCACCACCAACCATTCACACACACACCAGACTCATTCTAATGTGGGGGAAGTGTCTTGCCTAAGGACACAACCACAGTTTGGCACTTTAGAGCCGCAGCCGCCCCACCTGGTGTTCCCAGAGGTCTCCCATCCCACCTGCCCTGCTTAGCTTCACAGATCTGTCTTCCTCCTGCAGGGGGCGCCACCACATGCTCCGTGTCTCTGCCTATTGTTGCAGAGAAGCATCTGACACTTATTATTCAACATTTTAGTGATTTTCTCAAATACATGTGGTTCTTAAATGAAAAAAGCCACAACATGAAGCTTTGATCTTTAAACCATCACAGACTCTGCTGCAGACTGCTTTTAGTTTTTAACTCACAATGATTTTATGTCAAACACAAAACTGTCATGATTTTTTATTTTACTATATGTTTGTCCCAATGTCACCTTGTTCTTGTAGAATTATTAAATATATGTTTGTTGCTTGTATTATTGCTATGCTAATTTCTGGCTAACCGCTAATTTCTTGCTAATTGTCGATGTCGGCCATATTGTTGAAGCAGGATTTCTCTGAGTTCTAGTTGATCTGTTAGTTTAGTAGTTATTTGTATTAAAGATAAAGATTTGAATGTCCATCCATCCATTTTCTTCCCCTTAATCCATTTCTGGGTCGGGGGGTGGCAGTCAGAGCTGCACCCAGTCTACAGAGCACCAGCCCCTCACTGATCCTCCTGCAGGTGCTGAGTCCACAGGAGCTGAGATCTTTCAGTGGGGGCTTTGGGCAAAGTGGGGTTAAGTGTCTTGCCCAAGGACACAACGACAGCAGTCATCAGTGGGAGTCGTGAAGTAGGTCTTACGGTGGGCTCGAACCCACAACCTTCAGGCTCAAAGGCCAATGCTCTACCAACTGAGCTACTGCCGCCCACAAAAGGAGGCCTCTGATTGGTTTAAAAGACAGTATCGCACATAAACACCAGGATCACACAGAGATGGTGACTGTGACACAATGAAGCTGGAGCCAGAGAGGAGCCAAACTTCACCATGAGCACTTCCTTATTTGGCTTCCATGCGCTAGTGGGTTAGCAAGAAATTACAAACGGAGGAAAGAATAGGTTATCACTGTAAACTACCAGTCTGAGCCACATGGTCTGAGTCACATGGTCTGAGTCACATAGTCCGTGTCACATGGTTCGCGTCACATGGTCCGAGTGACATGATCCGAGTCACATGGTCCGTGTCACATGATCCAAGTCACATGGTCCGTGTCACATGGTTCGCGTCACATGGTCCGAGTCACATGATCCGAGTCACATGGTCCGTGTCACATGGTCCGCGTCACATAGTCCGAGTCAAATGGTCTGCATCACATGGTCCGCGTCACATGGTCAGCGTCACATGGTCCGCGTCACATGGTCCAAGCCGCATGGTCCAAATCTCTATCATGCAAACAACTCCAAAACTAACAACTTAACTAGAAATCCTGCTTCAGCAAAATGGCCGAATAGACAATTAGCAGTTAGCCAGAAATTAGCATAACAGTAATACAAGCAACAAACAAGAAAAAACACATTAAATAATTCTTCTAAAACAAAATACCAAGAATACAATCTTAGCTTTAGTTTTACATCAACACCACATGGTCTGCACCACAGCACACATGTAAGCCAATACCAGGAGAGACTTTTGCCATGACATCATCACAGGAAGTGAAGTGGGGCTCTGGGGGCGGGGTCAGCAGATGATTGACAACAGTAGCCAAAATAACAAAACCTGAGATGCACTTTTTGAACTTTGAAGTAACGTTAAGTCTTCCCTGGAGTCAAACACACATTCTGCAGATCGTACCATCGTCTGCACCAGAGACACTGTCAAACCAGCAACAAGAAGGGGCCTCTGGTTATATTTATGTTTAAATAAAGTCAGAATGTGCAATAACCATAAGCATAGCCTCATGCTACGAACAAGCTGCTAATGTAAACATACAACTGTGTATTTATGCTCCAGAAAACACAGGATTTGCTTCTTTAGAACGAGAGAGAAACGAGATGTCCTGCTGCAGCTGTACCTGTGCTACACTACTTTCATTTTAGTCCCCCCCTCCCCCTCCTCCCCCTCCCCCTCCTCCTCCCCCTCCCCCTCCCCCTCCCCCTCCCCCTCCTCCCCTCCTCCCTTCTCCCCTCCTCCCTTCTCCCAAACTAAAGGGAATTCCAATCCACGACTGAACAGATGAATTTTCCGACTTCAGCCTCGGAGCTTCCCTTTAAACATTCAGAGGAAACGTTTTAAACGACCTCATTACGACTCCTTCCAGAACAGACACACAATATACACGCAATATACAATATACACACAATATACACACTATATACAATATACACGCAATATACACACTATACACACAATATACACACTATACACACAATATACACACTATACACACACTATACACACAATATACACACTATACACACACTATACACACAATATACACACTATACACACAATATACACACTATACACAATATACACGCAATATACACACTATACACAATATACACGCAATATACACACTATACACAATATACACACAATATACACACTATATACAATATACACGCAATATACACACTATACACACAATATACACACAATATACACACTATACACACAATATACACACTATACACACAATATACACACTATACACACAATATACACACTATATACACACTATACACGCAATATACACACTATACACACAATATACACACTATACACACAATATACACACTATACACACAATATACACACTATATACACACTATACACACAATATACACACTATACACACAATATACACACTATACACACAATATACACACTATATACACACTATACACACAATATACACACTATACACACAATATACACACTATACACACAATATACACACTATATACACACTATACACACAATATACACACTATATACACACTATACACACAATATACACACTATACACACAATATACACACAATATACACACTATATACAATATACACGCAATATACACACTATACACACAATATACACACTATACACACAATATACACACTATATACACACTATACACACAATATACACACTATATACACACTATACACACAATATACACACTATACACACAATATACACACAATATACACACTATATACAATATACACGCAATATACACACTATACACACAATATACACACTATACACACAATATACACACTATACACACAATATACACACTATACACACAATATACACACTATACACACAATATACACACTATATACACACTATACACGCAATATACACACTATATACACTATATACACACTATACACACTATACACGCAATATACACACTATACACACTATACACACTCTCTAAATACACACAATATACAGTTACAGAAAGCGCAGGCTCCAGACCTGGGGGTGGGACCTGAGTGTGAGACCTGAGTGTGAGACCTGAGTGTGAGACCTGAGTGTGAGACCTGGGGGTGAGACTTGAGTGTGAGACCTGAGTGTGAGACCTGGGGGTGAGACTTGAGTGTGAGACCTGAGTGTGAGACCTGAGTGTGAGACCTGAGTGTGAGACCTGGGGGTGAGACTTGAGTGTGAGACCTGAGTGTGAGACCTGGGGGTGAGACTTGAGTGTGAGACCTGAGTGTGAGACCTGGGGGTGAGACTTGAGTGTGAGACCTGAGTGTGAGACCTGGGGGTGAGACTTGAGTGTGAGACCTGAGTGTGAGACCTGAGTGTGAGACCTGAGTGTGAGACCTGGGGGTGAGACTTGAGTGTGAGACCTGAGTGTGAGACCTGAGTGTGAGACCTGAGTGTGAGACCTGGGGGTGAGACTTGAGTGTGAGACCTGAGTGTGAGACCTGAGTGTGAGACCTGGGGGTGAGACTTGAGTGTGAGACCTGAGTGTGAGACCTGAGTGTGAGACCTGGGGGTGAGACTTGAGTGTGAGACCTGGGGGTGGGACCTGGGGGTGAGACCTGAGTGTGAGACCTGGGGGTGAGACCTGGGGGTGAGACTTGAGTGTGAGACCTGAGTGTGAGACCTGGGGGTGAGACTTGAGTGTGAGACCTGAGTGTGAGACCTGGGGGTGGGACCTGGGGGTGAGACCTGAGTGTGAGACCTGAGTGTGAGACCTGGGGGTGAGACTTGAGTGTGAGACCTGAGTGTGAGACCTGGGGGTGAGACCTGGGGGTGAGACTTGAGTGTGAGACCTGAGTGTGAGACCTGGGGGTGAGACTTGAGTGTGAGACCTGAGTGTGAGACCTGGGGGTGAGACTTGAGTGTGAGACCTGAGTGTGAGACCTGAGTGTGAGACCTGAGTGTGAGACCTGAGTGTGAGACCTGAGTGTGAGACCTGAGTGTGAGACCTGAGTGTGAGACCTGAGTGTGAGACCTGGGGGTGAGACTTGAGTGTGAGACCTGAGTGTGAGACCTGAGTGTGAGACCTGAGTGTGAGACCTGAGTGTGAGACCTGAGTGTGAGACCTGAGTGTGAGACCTGAGTGTGAGACCTGAGTGTGAGACCTGAGTGTGAGACTTGGGGGTGAGACTTGAGTTTAAACATTTCTTCGCTGTCCTCAGTCGTCGTGAACTGGGGCCTATTTTTATTTGCAGCTGTGAGCGATCTATAAATACCTCAGCCGGGGGGGGAGAGGGGGAAGAGGGGGGAGGAGGTGAGGAGGTGAGGGTGCTCCAGGCGGTCACCCTCACCTAAAACAATGATGTCATCGGGCAAAAGTCAAGAGGTGAGAAAGAAGAAGTGACATCACACAGTCCTTCAGGGTGTTCAGATTAGGTTAGAGTCTTGTCCTATTATAACGCTGTAGATGGATGATGCTAACATGCTAACATGCTAGCTCCTATTGACTTCCAGGTAAAACTAAACTCCTCCAGCTCAGTAATGTTTGTGTCAATGTCTGTGATCCTGTGTTTATATGAGATGTTGTCTTTGTAAATCCAGATATGACCATATAAGGACCGACCAATCAGAGGCCTTCCTTCAGGGAAAACTCTATCTAGCCTCAGCAACCGTCTTAGCAACTCGTCTGCCTCTGTTATGACGCTCTCAAAACAGGGTTACAGCCTCAGTCCTGGGTCTACAGCCTCAGTCCTGGGTCTACAGCCTCAGTCCTGGGTCTACAGCCTCAGTCCTGGGTCTGAAGCCTCAGTCCTGGGTCTACAGCCTCAGTCCTGGGTCTACAGCCTCAGTCCTGGGTCTGAAGCCTCAGTCCTGGATCTACAGCCTCAGTCCTGGGTCTACAGCCTCAGTCCTGGGTCTGAAGCCTCAGTCCTGGGTCTGAAGCCTCAGTCCTGGGTCTACAGTGGAAAACAGTTCCTCCTTCGCCGTTACTGTTGATGCTGTTGCCATGGAGACGGACGTGGTCATTAAACTAAACAACCGTTCGTTACAGACAGAGACAATTAGTGCATCTGTCATTAAGGCCATACAGTTCATAGAGAGTACACAGAGTAGAGTAGAGTAGAGTAGAGTAGAGTAGGGTAGAGTAGGGTAGAGTAGGGTAGAGAAGGGTAGAGTAGAGTAGAGTAGAGTAGAGTAGGGTAGGGTAGAGTAGAGTAGAGTAGAGTAGAGTAGAGTAGGGTAGAGTAGGGTAGAGAAGGGTAGAGTAGAGTAGAGTAGAGTAGAGTAGAGTAGAGTAGAGTACATTAGAGTAGAGTAGAGTAGAGTAGGGTAGAGTAGAGTAGGGTAGAGTAGGGTAGGGTAGAGTAGAGTAGAGTAGAGTAGAGTAGAGTAGAGTAGGGTAGAGTAGGGTAGGGTAGAGTAGTGTAGAGTAGAGTAGGGTAGGGTAGGGTAGGGTAGGGTAGAGTATAGTACAGTAGAGAAGAGTACATTAGCGTAGAGTAGAGTGGAGTACATAAGAGTAGAGTAGAGTAGAGTACATTAGAGTAGAGTAGAGTAGAGTACATTAGAGTAGAGTAGAGTAGAGTAGAGTACATTAGAGTAGAGTAGAGTAGAGTAGAGTAGGGTAGAGTAGAGTAGAGTAGAGTTCATTAGAGTAGAGTAGAGTAGAGTAGAGTAGGGTAGAGTAGAGTAGAGTAGAGTTCATTAGAGTAGAGTAGAGTAGAGTAGAGTACATTAGAGTAGAGTAGAGTCTAAAAAACAGGAAAAAGTAAAAGTTCCTCAAGAATTTGCTGAACATTTTCAGGTCGGATCCCTTTCATTGGTGGACGAGGAACTCAGAGCAGGAGCCACAGACTCAGAAAATAATAAACTTAATAACATAAAGACAAACCCTGGAGATGACATCACCCCCTGGCTGAGGCGATACAGGATAAACAATTATATTATGATTTTAAATGTATTTTCAGATCAATATGAAGCATCAGAAAAACACATTTGTTTGAACAAAGTCAGAGGATCCGACAGCAACATTTTAAAGTCAAATTTATTGATTTGGCACATTTAAAAACAGCCACAGTCGCCTCCAGAGCTGACGACAAACAACACATATGTTCACTACACTATACGGTTTTCAACACGAGAAGCTTAAGAGGAACTTCAGACTGGTAGACTACACCAGGCCCCCTCCTCCTCAGCCAATCACAGGCTGGCCCCTCCTCCTCAGCCAATCACAGGCTGGCCCCTCCTCCTCAGCCAATCACAGGCTGGCCCCTCCTCCTCAGCAAATCAGAGGCTGGCCCCTCCTCCTCAGCCAATCACATCAACTTCATCAACTCCCTGCAGCCGCCAATCAAACCAGCACTTAAAAGCAGAACACGGCACATCAAACAGCCTTTCGAGCTGTAACCACCTCCACCTACTCCTCACCTCCACCTCCTCCTCCCCACCTTCACCTCCACCTAACCTCCTCTTTACCTCCTCACCTCCCCCTCTTCTCGCTGTGTTTACATAGGTTTCCTCCAGGTGCTCCGGTTTCCCCTGCCTCTAAAAACATACGCTATACAAATAAATATGACCTCATTACCTCATTACCAACACATGACATAACAATGAGTGAGAAAGTGTTAAAATAAAGCTCAGATCCGTAACCTGGGGACAGCAGAGCGAGGACGACCTTGGCGCTGCACAAAGCGCCTCAGTCTCTGGATCATAGACCTACATTATATTCTCCACATTCCTCTGGAGCATCCTCTCCTCCTCCTCCTGCTGCTCCTCCCTCGGTTCCTCTCGTCTGTCGGTGGTGTCCCGGCTGGGCGTGGCGTGTGACCTCCTGCTGCTGCGCCCTGACGTGTCGCCGCATGCGCCCGCAGCCTCGGCCCCGGTCTCGGCCCCGGCTCCTGAAAAGCGTCTCTGTCTCCGGCCGCAGATCGCCTTACACACCACTTCCTGCTTCCTCCTCGCTCCTCGCTGCTCGCTCCTCACAGTCGGCTCAGTGTGCGTGGGACCCTGGGACCCGGCGGGCTCCGAACAGAGGGGTTCAGTCCAGCACAGGACCCCATTCATCCGGCCCCTCCGCGGCTTGTTTTAAAAAATCACAAATATTTTTCCTTTGAAGATGGTGAAGGAAAAGAGTCGAGACCCAGAGACCTTCAGCTGCTCAGGCCTCGGCATCAGCGGGAACTTGGACCAATCTGGACTAAATAAAGATCCAGACTAAATATGAAGATCCAGGTCCAGACTAAATATGAAGTCCAGGTCCAGACTAAATATAAAGTTCCAGGTCCAGACTAAATATGAAGATCCAGGTCCAGACTAAATATGAAGATCCAGGTCCAGACTAAATATGAAGGTCCAGGTCCAGACTAAATATAAAGTTCCAGGTCCAGACTAAATATGAAGATCCAGGTCCAGACTAAATATGAAGATCCAGGTCCAGACTAAATATGAAGATCCAGATCCAGACTAAATATGAAGGTCCAGGTCCAGACTAAATATGAAGATCCAGGTCCAGACTAAATATGAAGATCCAGGTCCAGACTAAATATGAAGATCCAGGTCCAGACTAAATATGAAGATCCAGATCCAGACTAAATATGAAGGTCCAGGTCCAGACTAAATATGAAGGTCCAGGTCCAGACTAAATATAAAGTTCCAGGTCCAGACTAAATATGAAGATCCAGGTCCAGACTAAATATGAAGATCCAGATCCAGACTAAATATGAAGGTCCAGGTCCAGACTAAATATGAAGATCCAGGTCCAGACTAAATATAAAGTCCAGATCCAGACTAAATATGAAGGTCCAGGTCCAGACTAAATATGAAGATCCAGGTCCAGACTAAATATGAAGATCCAGATCCAGACTAAATATGAAGGTCCAGGTCCAGACTAAATATGAAGGTCCAGGTCCAGACTAAATATAAAGTTCCAGGTCCAGACTAAATATGAAGATCCAGATCCAGACTAAATATGAAGGTCCAGGTCCAGACTAAATATGAAGATCCAGGTCCAGACTAAATATAAAGTCCAGATCCAGACTAAATATGAAGATCCAGGTCCAGACTAAATATGAAGATCCAGGTCCAGACTAAATATGAAGACCCAGATCCAGACTAAATATGAAGGTCCAGGTCCAGACTAAATATGAAGGTCCAGGTCCAGACTAAATATAAAGTTCCAGGTCCAGACTAAATATGAAGATCCAGGTCCAGACTAAATATGAAGATCCAGATCCAGACTAAATATGAAGGTCCAGGTCCAGACTAAATATGAAGGTCCAGGTCCAGACTAAATATAAAGTTCCAGGTCCAGACTAAATATGAAGATCCAGGTCCAGACTAAATATGAAGATCCAGATCCAGACTAAATATGAAGGTCCAGGTCCAGACTAAATATGAAGGTCCAGGTCCAGACTTTTGGATGAATTATGTTGTTGGCATTTTTACACAATTAAATGTAAATGTATTCTACCACATGGTATTGGACCATAGGGAGAGACCACATGGTATTGAAATTTAGGGAGAGACCACATGGTATTGGTCCATAGGGAGAGACCACATGGTATTGGACCATAGGGAGCGACCACATGGTATTGGTCCATAGAGAGAGACCACATGGTATTGGTCCATAGAGAGAGACCACATGGTATTGGTCCATAGGGAGAGACCACATGGTATTGGACCATAGGGAGAGACCACATGGTATTGGTCCATAGGGAGAGACCACATGGTATTGGTCCATAGGGAGAGACCACATGGTATTGGTCCATAGGGAGAGACCACATGGTATTGGACCATAGAGAGAGACCACATGGTATTGGACAATAGAGAGAGACCATGTCTATGACTGTAGTAGAATGTAAAGTGTGGATCATCACAGTCCTAACCTTTCCTAAAATCAATCATAAACTTTTCAGTAAAATCACATCAAACCCATTAAAAAATTTATACAATCAAAAAATGAAAGTTAAAAAGCGTTAAAATTGTGCCACCGCTTAAAAAGGACAACAGCAGGAAATGATACGGTATCACTGACACTGACCCTGACACTGACACTGACCCTGACCCTGACACTGACCCTGACACTGACACTGACACTGACACTGACACTGACACTGACCCTGACACTGACACTGACACTGACACTGACACTGACACTGACACTGACACTGACACTGACCCTGACCCTGACCCTGACCCTGACACTGACACTGACACTGACACTGACACTGACCCTGACACTGACACTGACACTGACACTGACACTGACACTGACCCTGACACTGACACTGACACTGACACTGACACTGACACTGACCCTGACCCTGACCCTGACACTGACACTGACACTGACACTGACACTGACACTGACACTGACCCTGACCCTGACCCTGACACTGACACTGACACTGACACTGACCCTGACCCTGACCCTGACCCTGACACTGACACTGACACTGACACTGACACTGACACTGACCCTGACACTGACACTGACACTGACACTGACACTGACACTGACCCTGACCCTGACACTGACACTGACACTGACACTGACACTGACACTGACACTGACACTGACCCTGACACTGACCCTGACACTGACACTGACACTGACACTGACCCTGACACTGACACTGACACATTATAATAAACTAATATATACTTAATTGAGACTTTGACTAAAGACACGACGTTTGAGAAGTTTGAGTTGTTCTGGGAATAAAACTCTGTGTCGACTTCATCTGAACCAAATAATCTGTTTTTTACCCAAATATCAAACTTCTTAATTACATTTGTGCTGAAAGTCCAGATGTCTTTGTTTTGGTTGTTAGTGGTCGAGTGAAAACGTATTATGTCAAATAAAAGTGATTTCTATCTTGAACCCGTAAAATAATTGAGCTTCTCTGCAGAGATCCAAAAGTTCATTCAAAGTATTTACAGGAACCAGAGGCTTTTCTCCAAACGAGTTTTACCGTCAGAGAAAGAAGCTTCTCCACAAAGACCACAACAGACTCTTCAAGAAGTTAAAGAGACGCTTTTAGTCTGAAAAACACTGGATCAAAAACACAGAGTTTAAAGCTTCTCCTGCTTCTGTCTCCACTGTCAGACTGTACAACGAGTTCAAAACACTGCAGAGGTCCAGATGAGAACCAGGAAGTACCAACACATTAGTCCTGGTCTCAGGTCTCTGTTTGATACAAGTCTCTCCACGGCCTCGTACCAAAGTACATCTGAGCACAGGGACTGGTCTCCTGCTGGGACTCTGAGGAGCACAGGGACTGGCCTCCTGCTGGGACTCTGAGGAGCACAGGGACTGGCCTCCTGCTGGGACTCTGAGGAGCACAGGGACTGGCCTCCTGCTGGGACTCTGAGGAGCACAGGGACTGGTCTCCTGCTGGGACTCTGAGGAGCACAGGGACTGGTCTCCTGCTGGGACTCTAAGGAGCACAGGGACTGGTCTACTGCTGGGACTCTGAGGAGCACAGGGACTGGTCTACTGCTGGGACTCTGAGGAGCACAGGGACTGGTCTCCTGCTGGGACTCTGAGGAGCACAGGGACTGGTCTCCTGCTGGGACTCTGAGGAGCACAGGGACTGGCCTCCAGCTGGGACTCTAAGGAGCACAGGGACTGGTCTCCTGCTAGGACTCTGAGGAGCACCGGGACTGGTCTCCTGCTGGGACTCTGAGGAGCACAGGGACTGGTCTCCTGCTGGGACTCTGAGGAGCACCGGGACTGGTCTCCTGCTGGGACTCTGAGGAGCACAGGGACTGGTCTCCTGCTGGTACCAGAGTCAGGACTAAACATGAGGCGGCAGTCGAATTCTAGTGAGCAGTGGTGTCACGGGTCAATATAGACCACAATGCATTGCAGGCAGAAGAAAAAGCAGCGGAGGCACAAAGGGACATCCAGATACAGCCTGTGAGTCCAGGGTCAATTCAAATCAATTTATTCTTTTATCGCTCTCGATCACGACAGTAAATATCTCAGAGGACTTTACAAAACTGTTGAAATCGCCAACAACAGATCAGAGAATCAAACTGTGTCTGTGTTGATGTGTGTGTGTGTCTGTGTGTGTGTGTGTGTGTCTGTGTTAATGTGTTTGTGTCTGTGCACTTGTTTTCAACTCCTGGTGGGTTCCATAACCTGAGATTCCACTCACGTCATGGGGACTGGTTTTACGTGGTGGGGCCCGAACACCGGACCCCACTGGTCCAAGCTTAATAATCAATGGGTAATGCTTTTCTAACGGTCCTTATGCAGTCTCTGTAAAAATATGGAAAGGACCCCTGGAGGTTTACTTTCCTGAAAAAAGTGTGTTATGTGTCGGAACCCTGGTGGTGGGTTGCGGGATATCAAGGAGGGGCACACTGGGGCAATTTCAGTCCAGCAGGCTGGAGCCAATCATGGAGCAGCACAACAGAGGAAATCAGGTGTCAGGCTAGAAAAAGGTGCAAGTGTGTGGTTCATTAGGCTGCAAGAAATCATGGAGGAGCACACTGAAGCGCACGCTTACAAACCACTGGTAAGTGCTGACTACAAGTCATGACTTCAAATTGTTATATAGAATGATTACAAATTATTTGTTGTTTGTGCAGCTTAGTCAAGAGTCCCTAATTGATGAAGTCGACTCAGATTCTGACGATTTAACTGTCAAGAAGAAACCTGTAAAAAAGTATGGAAAAAGAAAAATCAAAAACACTTTTCTTCAAGACTCGGAAAGTGACGAACCAAAGGCAAATAAGATTGTTATCATGCAGCTGCAAAAGAAGAAAAATGGGGGGCGAGTATACAGCAAGAGACACTTCTGCCTCTACTGTTCAATGTCCTGCCACAAAATGTCCCGTCATTTGACTAGAAAACATGGAAATGAAAGTGACGTAGCCAGAGCATTGGCTCTACCTGTGAAATCTAAAGCACGTAAACTTCAGTTTGATTTGATCAGGAATAGTGGAAACCGTGAGCACAATTTTGAGGTTTTAAAGGCCGGCATTGGAACTTTAGTCCCAGCTAAACAGCCAAATTGCCCAGTTAAATCCAGTGAGTTTTTGCACTGTATAGACTGTGGGGCATTGCTTAAGCGAAAGTCGCTGTGGAGGCATGTGGCCAGGTGCCGGCTGTCACAGAAAGATGCCCAGGCTAAACCAGGTAGAAGTAGGGTCCAGTCCCTCTGCTCCCTAGCCCAGCCTGTACCGGAGGGCATCAGCAAAAAGCTGTGGTCTTTAATTTCGGCAATGCATCAGGATGAGGTCACGGGTGTTGTCAAAGCAGAAAAGGGGATTCTGAGACTCGGAGAGCACCTGTACTTAAAACACGGGCATGATAAGACAAAGCATGATTACATTAGGCAGAAAATGAGAGAAGTCGGTAGGTTAATTAACGAAGCAAAAACCGCAGGGAAACTGAAAACAATTAAGGATTTCTTTATTCCTTCCAACTTTAACCATGTGATTGATGCAGTCAGGTCTGTGGCTGGATATGATGAGGAAACAAATCAATACAAGACTCCATCCTTGGCCCTCAAACTCGGCCATAGCCTCAGAAAGCTAGCAGATATTCTTGAATGTGACTCAAAAATGGAGCATTGTGTTGATGAACTATTTATTAAAAACCTCCAACGAAGCCGGCTGCTTTTTGAGAAGAGGTGGGACGTCTGTGTTTCTTCTGCTGCCCTACAGACCCTCCGGCAAGCCAAGTGGAACACTCCGGACCTGCTCCCTCTGACTGAGGACGTTAGAGCCATGCATGCACATATTGAGGTATGTCGACCTGAATATGTGCAAACCCTAATAAGTGAGCCAACGTCTAAGCATTGGTCTAAACTGGCAGTTTTGACTCTTTGTGAGGTCATCATTTTCAATCGAAGAAGGGAAGGTGAGGTTTCAAAGATGCCACTGACAGCCTTTACCTTAAGAAGTAAGACTGGGATCCATTCTGACATTGCTCTGGGACTGTCCCAACTTGAGAAAAAGCTGTGTCAGCATTTTCAACGCATTGAAATTAAAGGGAAAAGAAGTCGGAAAGTGCCGGTTCTTTTGACTCCTGAAATGATTGCTTCGATGGAGGTGCTGGTGGAGAACAGAAGGGCCTGTTCCATCTCTGACCATAACCCATACTTCTTTTCCCGCCCGGGCGCAGACACCCACATCAGGGGATCAGACTCCCTACGCCAGGTAGCCAAAGAATGTGGTGCGGTGCATCCAGAGATGCTATCCTCAACCAAACTTAGAAAGCACATAGCTACTATGTCTACAGTTCTCAATATGAAAGAGAATGAGATGGACATACTTGCCAACTTCCTCGGCCATGACATTCGCATCCACAGGCAATATTACAGACTACCAGAGGGGACACTGGAGCTGGCCAAAATCAGCAAAGTGTTGATGGCCATGGAGCAGGGAAGAGTGACGGAATTCGAAGGAAAGAGCCTCGACCAGATACAAATTGAGCCTGAAGGTAATTCTTGATATTATTAAAATATGTATGATTTTTTTCCCCTAAAGGCCACTTGTATTTTTATTTTCTGTGCGACAGGGAGAGCAGTAGAGATCCTCTCACAAACGGACGGGCTAAAAGAAACTTCAAGCGGAGAACCTTCAACCATTCATCCAGATGCACCCCATGGTAGTGGCAGTGCCCCTTCTGGTAAGTGTACCAGGTGGGGGATTACAGCCAGGCTGCTTGGTCCTCACCCTGGGAGTGTATATTGCTAATATATTTTTATTTCTCTCCCTAGAACAGGGGTGTCAAACTCATTTTGGTCCGGGGGCCACATACAACCTAATCTGATCTCAAGTGGGCCGGACCAGTAGATGCTCTTCAAAAATATCCAAAAACGGTACAAAGTCCAACTTTTTGTGCACATAAACACATTTATTTAAAACTTCCTTTAAAACACTATCCTTTAATACTCAGTTTTCTGTTACAAACTTAAATGTAACAGTGAGTTTTCCATAGTGCAAATAATGTAACGTATTTACAATATTACATTGTAAATGGTATTTCACAATATGTATATTAATATTTGTATGTTAGCTTTGTTTTAAGGCTCATTACAGAGAAAACCTGCTCACAAAGGTAAAGTAGATAGAAAAAAGCACTAAAACACACGCGGCACGGTGGCTGAGTGGATAGCACTCTCGCCTCTCAGCAAGAAGGTCCTGGGTTCGAATCCCGGTCGGACCAGGGCCTTTCTGAGTGGAGTTTGCATGTTCTCCCCGTGTCTGCGTAGGTTTCCTCCGGGTACTCCGGTTTCCCCTACCACTAAAAATATGTACAATAGTTCTGGCATGCGCTTCCTGTACTGGCCCCTCCCATCTCTGTGTGGAGTGAGAGACAAATGCACAAAAATTAACAATTGTAAACCGCTTTGAGACTCAGATCTGCAGTGAAAAGGCGGTATATAAATAAATACTTACTACTACTACTACTTACACAGCACCTCAGCTTAACCATCTTCAGTGTGTAAGGTCCATGGTTATGTTATTATCACATTAACCATCTTCAGTGTGTAAGGTCCATGGTTATGTTATTATCACATTAACCATCTTCAGTGTGGTAAGGTCCATGGTTATGTTATTATCACATTAACCATCTTCAGTGTGGTAAGGTCCATGGTTATGTTATTATCACATTAACCATCTTCAGTGTGGTAAGGTCCATGGTTATGTTATTATCACATTAAGCATCTTCAGTGTGTAAGGTCCATGGTTATGTTATTATCACATTAACCATCTTCTGTATGTAAGTAAGTTAGTAAGTTATTATTTATATACCGCCTTTTCACTGCAGATTTGAGTCTCAAAGCGGTTTACAATTGTTAATTTTGGGCATTTGTCTGTACTGGCAGGGTCGCCAGTACAGGAAGCGCATGCCAGAACTATTGGACATATTTTTAGTGGTAGGGGAAACCGGAGTACCCGGAGGAAACCTACGCAGACACGGGGAGAACATGCAAACTCCACTCAGAAAGGCCCTGGTCCGGCCGGGATTCGAACCCAGGACCTTCTTGCTGAGAGGCGAGAGTGCTATCCACTCAGCCACCGTGCCGCCCATGTATGGTAAGGTCCATGGTTATGTTATTATCACAGAGAAAGCATCAAACTGACCATGATTCCGTTGAAATGAATAAAACAACTTCCATAACGTGATCCATTCTTAACGACTGCAGCAGTGTCTCTGTGTAAAATACAGTCAAATGTCCAAAAATCATCACCTCCATTTGCAGCTTTGTCACTACACCTGTTTTTACCAGTCCACACTGTCCAACACACCAGCAACAACAGCAGAACCAGCAGCAGCAACAACAGCAGAACCAGCAGCAGCAACAACAGCAGAACCAGCAGCAGCAACAACAGCAGAACCAGCAGCAGCAGCACAGCAGAACAGCAGCAGCAACAACAGCAGAACCAGCAGCAGCAACAACAGCAGAACCAGCAGCAGCAACAACAGCAGAACCAGCAGCAGCAACAACAGCAGAACCAGCAGCAGCAACAACAGCAGAACCAGCAGCAGCAACAACAGCAGAACCAGCAGCAGCAACAACAGCAGAACCAGCAGCAGCAACAACAGCAGAACCAGCAGCAGCAACAACAGCAGAACCAGCAGCAGCAACAACAGCAGAACCAGCAGCAGCAACAACAGCAGAACCAGCAGCAGCAACAACAGCAGAACCAGCAGCAGCAACAACAGCAGAACCAGCAGCAGCAACAACAGCAGAACCAGCAGCAGCAACAACAGCAGAACCAGCAGCAGCAACAACAGCAGAACCAGCAGCAGCAACAACAGCAGAACCAGCAGCAGCAACAACAGCAGAACCAGCAGCAGCAACAACAGCAGAACCAGCAGCAGCAACAACAGCAGAACCAGCAGCAGCAACAACAGCAGAACCAGCAGCAGCAACAACAGCAGAACCAGCAGCAGCAACAACAGCAGAACCAGCAGCAGCAACAACAGCAGAACCAGCAGCAGCAACAACAGCAGAACCAGCAGCAGCAACAACAGCAGAACCAGCAGCAGCAACAACAGCAGAACCAGCAGCAGCAACAACAGCAGAACCAGCAGCAGCAACAACAGCAGAACCAGCAGCAGCAACAACAGCAGAACCAGCAGCAGCAACAACAGCAGAACCAGCAGCAGAAACAACAGCAGAACCAGCAGCAGCAACAACAGCAGAACCAGCAGCAGCAACAACAGCAGAACCAGCAGCAGCAACAACAGCAGAACCAGCAGCAGCAACAACAGCAGAACCAGCAGCAGCAACAACAGCAGAACCAGCAGCAGCAACAACAGCAGAACCAGCAGCAGCAACAACAGCAGAACCAGCAGCAGCAACAACAGCAGAACCAGCAGCAGCAACAACAGCAGAACCAGCAGCAGCAACAACAGCAGAACCAGCAGCAGAACCAGCTGCAGCGCTCAAAACTCCTCTGATAGTTTCAGTAACACCACAAATGAATATGTGACATCAGTAACATCAGTCTCTTATCAATGGCAACATGTTGGTAAAAGCGAGTGGTTTCTCAGACCATGTCTGCAGCCTGTAAGAGATTTAACAAACTCTCTCTCACTGTGCGGCTGCGATGCTAATGCTAATGTTGTTAGCACAGGTAGCTTCCCTTTACAACAGCAGAACTAACCTCTCGCTCTGGGCACAAACAGACTGCTGTGTCTTCAGGGCCAGACAGGTTTATCTTCTGTTTTCTCAATTCTTCGCTCAAAGTGCCGTATTTTTCGCCGAGTCTTGTAGTTTAAGATGTTATTCCTTCAGCACCGCTCTGGTGGAGCCACTACAGACGCACTGGACTCACCCCTGAGCGCGGCGCCTCGCGTCGCGGAGCGGCTTTTTAAAATGTATTTTTATTATATTTTTACATAAATGAGCCACGGGCCGTGTCAAATCTCTTGGCGGGCCGGTTCCGGCCCGCGGGCCGTATGAATGACACCCCTGCCCTAGAACGTGTAAGAAAGCCATGGTCTGCATCTGAGGTGAAGGCTGTGGAGAAGACCATGACACCTTTCATACAGACTGGAAAGGTCCCTGGGAAGTCTCACTGCCTGGCCTGCATTAATGCCTCACCAGATGACCTTAGACATCGGACATGGAGTGGCATTAAATTCTATGTCAAAAATAGAATCACTGCAATTCGAAAACAAAATCTAAAATAAAATTCCTTTAAAATAGTTGTTTGGTTTCTATTGACTGTTTTGTATTACTTAAAGTCTTGGTAAAAAAAGATTATGTCTATGGGTCCCATTCTGAACGGCCCTGTCAAAGGGACCCACCAGGTAACAAAAACGTGTATGTGTGTGTGTGTGTGTGTGTGTGTTTGTGTTAATGTGTGTGTGTGTCTGTGTTAATGTGTGTGTCTGTGTTAATGTGTGTGTGTGTCTGTGTTAATGTGTGTGTGTGTGTGTCTGTGTTAATGTGTGTGTGTGTGTGTGTGTTAATGTGTGTGTGTGTGTGTGTGTCTGTGTTAATGTGTGTGTGTGTGTGTCTGTGTTAATGTGTGTGTGTGTTTGTGTCTGTGTTAATGTGTGTGTGTGTGTGTGTGTGTGTGTCTGTGTTAATGTGTGTGTGTGTCTGTGTTAATGTGTGTGTCTGTGTGTGTGTGTCTGTGTTAATGTGTGTGTGTTTGTGTAATGTGAAAAAAAAAAATCAGTTCAAACACAAGAAATAGAAGAAAACTCATGGTCCTGGTCCATCAGTGAATAATGTCCATCACCTCTGTCCTCAAAGTTAGACCTCTAAAAACTCTAAAAACTCTAAAAACCCAGAACCCAGTGGAAAGAGAGAAACCTCGGGACCAGATCGAGTCTCGGTGTGAACTATTCGAACCATGCAACGTCCGTCTGTCGCTCTGCCGCCATCTTTAGAAACTTTAAAAGGGTTAAAGGAAGGTTAGGTGTGTCCAGAACCTTCTCTCTTTGAACCCAGAGATCTGACAACCAGACGCTACAATGTGGCGGATCCGGGTCTGGACCAAGACTGAGAAACATCTATGAACATTTGGATTTGATCTATTTACAATCACACATAAAAAGAAAAACACATTTCTGATCAAATTAAAAAAAAAAAAAAAAAAAAAAAAAATCTAGCTTAGTGGCGCCCCCTGCAGGTGAAAAAGCCAGATCCTGTCAGACCTCTGAAGCTTAGCAGGGTAGGGGCTGGTTAGTACTGGGATGGGAGACCTCTGGGGCCACAGTGGGGGCGGCTGTGGCTGTAAAGTGCCAAACTGTGGTTGTGTCCTTAGGCAAGACACTTCCCCCACATTAGAATGAGTCTGGTGTGTGTGTGAATGGTTGGTGGTGGTGGGAGGGGCCGATGGCACAGACTGGTTGCCTCGCTTCTGTCAGAGTGCCCCGGGGCAGCTGTGGCTACAGTAATAGCCCTGTGTAAAGGGAATACACTATGAAACTAGTGCGATATTAAAAACTTGGCTCTAAATGGTTCTTTCTTCTGAACAGTGAGACCTCTTTAAGCCACGGGTCACGGTTCAAGGGAGATTTCTATTTCTGGAATGCTAATAATGCTAACAATGCTAATGATGCTAATGCTACCTGGAGTTGTTTGGCTTCACTCAAACATGAGAGACCCTGTTATAATCCTTCCTCATTCTCTGGATTTGCACATTTCAAAACTACAAACAGATCATCACCAAATCTGACACTAAAAAAAGAGACAAACAAACAACAAAAGCACTGAGTCTGAGTCTGAGCCTGGGTCGGAGCCTGGGTCTGGGTCCAGGTCCGGGTCTGGGTCTGAATCTAAGTCCGCAGGTAACCAAAGCCCCTGAATGTGTGGGTGCAGGATCGCGGTGAAGGTTTTGGGGTTTTGCTATTTCTGGAATGCTCCAAATGTGTGACTATTTATCCAGACGCCATCGAGCAGAGAGGGAGGGGGGACAGGGAGGGGGGACAGGGGTATTTAAGATTCTTGGGGAAATGGCAGAGTGGGCAAATAACTCGAAGACAAACAGGGTATTAACGATTGGGGGGGGGGTCTTCACTCCGATCCTTCAGCCCTCAGCCTCTGCTCACTGCTGTGTTGTTGCTGCACATTAAACCAGCACTGGATATGGCTCTGCTCTGCCTCCGGGGGTGAGGGGGGGTGAGGGGGGGTGAGGGGGGTAGATAAACAGCCAGTTCCCTGGGCTTCCCCCGCAGATCCAGCCTCAGAAGAAGAACGTGAAGAATGATGGTCTGTGCCACCGCTGCATGGAGGCATTGATGGTGCGAGGACAGTACCAGCGGAGACCAGAGGGGGCGCTGCAGCCGTGACACTGATGGAACAGCAGTCACTACAGGAAGTGTGGATTAAAGAGAGAGGGGTCTGTGAAGATGTGACGCCGGCAACAATCACAGACAGGTTTTATTAAATGTGGCATTTTATTTTCGCTTTTGTAGTTTTTATGGATGAAGAAACAGAGGGAAAGGGATGAGGAGGAGGGAGGGGTGAGGAGGAGGGAGGGAGGGATGAGGAGAAGGGAGGAGGGAGAAGAAGGAGGGGTGAGAAGGAGGGGTGAGGAGGGAGGAGAAGGAGGGGTGAGGAGGGAGGAGAAGGAGGGAGGAGAAGGAGGGGTGAGGAGGGAGGGGAAAATGTATCACATTTTCTTAATCCCTCTGAACTTTGGGACGTCATCTTCATCTTTCTTTCATGTAAATGTAAAGTTCAAATGCAGCCATTTTTGGTTGCTTGGCAACCAACAACATCCAAGGTGCTGGTCCTAGTCTGGTCCTGGTCTTGTCCTGGACTAGTTCTGGTCTAGTTCTGGTCTAGTTCTGGTCTAGTCCGGGTTGTGAGCTAACAGCTACACACTGTTTACTGCTGATGCAGATTGACACATACTTAGTCATATATTTACTACTTCATTATTCTCTCTCTCTAGTGCTGGTCCTGGTCTGGTCCTGGTCTGGTCCTGGTCTGATCCTGGTCTGGCTCTGCTCTGGTCCTGGTCTAATCCTGCTCTGGTCCTGGTCTGATCCTGCTCTGGTCATGGTCCTGGTCTGGTCTGATCCTGCTCTGGTCCTGGTCTGATCCTGCTCTGGTCCTGGTCTGATCCTGCTCTGGTCATGGTCCTGGTCTGGTCCTGGTCTGGTCCTTTGCTCACGCAGGTCCGTGAGAGCTTGTTATGAAGGATGATCTGCAGTCGTGTTTTACTCTTGACATGTTTCCTTCAAACACATCAATCACAGCAAATACTTTTCCAAGAAGAGGCTTCACTACTGTTCCTCAGGGGTCAGAGGTCAGCGGCTGGAGACGCTGGTCAGGAATGCTGCAGGATGGATGCTATTTACGCTGATGCCACAGAGAGAGCTCACAGCGAGACAACCAAGGACTTTCCTGCTCTGCCCTGTGTCAGATATTTATCAGCAAAGAATTCTACAGTATCACGATATTTGGGCCATAATTCAAGATTATTGTGATTCTTAACATTATACATACAGACAGTCTGTGATTCTGAGTCACAACAATCAGACATCATAGAAGAATCTCTCTGGTCTCTCTCTGGTCTCTCTCTAGTCTCTCTCTGGTCTCTCTCTGGTCTCTCTCTGGTCTCTCTCTGGTCTCTCTCTGCTCTCTCTCTGGTCTCTCTCTGCTCTCTCTCTGCTCTCTCTCTGGTCTCTCTCCGGTCCCTATGTGATCTCTCTCTGGTCTCTCCCTCTGGTCTCTCTCTGGTCTCCCTCTGGTCTCTCTCTCTGGTCTCTCTCTGGTCTCTCTCTGGTCCCTCTCTGCTCTCTCTCTGCTCTCTCTCTGCTCTCTCTCTGGTCTCTCTCTGGTCTCTCTCTCTGCTCTCTCTCTGCTCTCTCTCTGGTCTCTCTGGTCTCTCTCTGGTCTCTCTCTCTGGTCTCTCTCTCTGGTCTCTCTCTGGTCTCTCTCTAGTCTCTCTCTGGTCTCTCTCTGGTCTCTCTCTGGTCTCTCTCTGGTCTCTCTCTGCTCTCTCTCTGGTCTCTCTCTGCTCTCTCTCTGCTCTCTCTCTGGTCTCTCTCCGGTCCCTATGTGATCTCTCTCTGGTCTCTCCCTCTGGTCTCTCTCTGGTCTCCCTCTGGTCTCTCTCTCTGGTCTCTCTCTGGTCTCTCTCTGGTCTCTCTCTGGTCCCTCTCTGCTCTCTCTCTGCTCTCGCTCTGCTCTCTCTCTGCTCTCTCTCTGGTCTCTCTCTGGTCTCTCTCTCTGCTCTCTCTCTGCTCTCTCTCTGGTCTCTCTGGTCTGGTCTCTCTCTCTGGTCTCTCTCTGGTCTCTCTCTAGTCTCTCTCTGGTCTCTCTCTGGTCTCTCTCTGGTCTCTCTCTGGTCTCTCTCTGCTCTCTCTCTGGTCTCTCTCCGGTCCCTATGTGATCTCTCTCTGGTCTCTCCCTCTGGTCTCTCTCTGGTCTCTCTCTGGTCTCCCTCTGGTCTCTCTCTCTGGTCTCTCTCTGGTCTCTCTCTGGTCTCTCTCTGCTCTCTCCCTGGTCTCTCTCTGGTCCCTCTCTGCTCTCTCTCTGCTCTCGCTCTGCTCTCTCTCTGCTCTCTCTCTGCTCTCTCTCTGGTCTCTCTGGTCTCTCTCTGGTCTCTCTCTGGTCTCTCTCTGGTCTCTCTCTCTGGTCTCTCTCTGGTCTCTCTCCGGTCCCTATGTGATCTCTCTCTGGTCTCTCCCTCTGGTCTCTCTCTGGTCTCTCCCTGGTCTCTCTCTGGTCTCTCTCCGGTCCCTATGTGATCTCTCTCTGGTCTCTCCCTGGTCTCTCTCTGCTCTCTCTCTGGTCTCTCTCCGGTCCCTATGTGATCTCTCTCTGGTCTCTCCCTCTGGTCTCTCTCTGGTCTCTCCCTGGTCTCTCTCTGGTCTCCCTCTGGTCTCTCTCTCTGGTCTCTCTCTGGTCTCTCTCTGGTCTCTCTCCGGTCCCTATGTGATCTCTCTCTGGTCTCTCCCTCTGGTCTCTCTCTGGTCTCTCCCTGGTCTCTCTCTGGTCTCTCTCTGCTCTCTCTCTGGTCTCTCTCTGGTCTCTCTCTCTGGTCTCTCTCTGGTCTCTCTCTGGTCTCTCTGGTCTCTCTCTGGTCTCTCTCTGGTCTCTCTCTGGTCTCTCTCTGGTCTCTCTCTGGTCTCTCTCTCTGGTCTCTCTCTCTGGTCTCTCTCTGGTCTCTCTCTCTGGTCTCTCTCTGGTCTCTCTGGTCTCTCTCTGGTCTCTCTCTGCTCTCTCTCTGGTCTCTCTCTCTGCTTTCTCTGGTCTCTCTCTGCTCTCTCTCTGGTCTCTCTCCGGTCCCTATGTGATCTCTCTCTGGTCTCTCCCTCTGGTCTCTCTCTGGTCTCTCCCTGGTCTCTCTCTGGTCTCTCTCTCTGGTCTCTCTCTGCTCTCTCTCTGCTCTCTCTCTGCTCTCTCTCTGGTCTCTCTCTGGTCTCTCTCTGGTCTCTCTCTCTGGTCTCTCTCTGGTCTCTCTGGTCTCTCTCTGGTCTCTCTCTCTGGTCTCTCTCTCTGGTCTCTCTCTCTGGTCTCTCTCTGGTCTCTCTCTCTGGTCTCTCTCTGGTCTCTCTCTGGTCTCTCTGGTCTCTCTCTGGTCTCTCTGGGCTCTCTCTGGTCTCTCTCTGGTCTCTCTCTCTGGTCTCTCTCTGGTCTCTCTCTGGTCTCTCTGGTCTCTCTCTGGTCTCTCTCTCTGGTCTCTCTCTCTGGTCTCTCTGGTCTCTCTCTGGTCTCTCTCTCTGGTCTCTCTCTGGTCTCTCTCTGGTCTCTCTCTCTGGTCTCTCTCTGGTCTCTCTGGTCCCTCACAGGTCTCTCTCTGCTCTCTCTCTGGTCTCTCTCTCTGGTCTCTCTCTGGTCTCTCTCTCTGGTCTCTCTCTGGTCTCTCTCTCTGGTCTCTCTCTGGTCTCTCTCTGGTCTCTCTCTGGTCTCTCTCTGGTCTCTCTCTCTGCTCTCTCTCTGGTCTCTCTCTCTCTGGTCTCTCTCTGGTCTCTCTGCTCTCTCTCTGGTCTCTCTCTCTGGTCTCTCTCTGGTCTCTCTCTGCTCTCTCTCTGGTCTCTCTCTCTGCTCTCTCTCTGGTCTCTCTCTCTCTGGTCTCTCTCTGGTCTCTCTGGTCTCTTTCTGGTCTCTCTCAGTACGGACCCAAACCTCTGTTTACTTACATGACTAATCTGTTCTCCATCAACAAACTCTGACAACCTGGAATACTGTGCATTTTTCCTCCTCTCTCCAGCGGAACAGGAGGCCTTATTATGGCTGGTGGTCAGGGGGGGAGGAGGGGGGAGGCGGGGGACAGGGCCGAGCCACGAGAGACCAGCGATGGAGGCAGAGGCCAGGGAGAAAGTGGCTCCTGTGTGTGAGGAGGCGGAGAGGGCCAAGCCAAAGAGAGACTGTGTGCTTTGGAAGACTTTACTGAGCGATCTGTCCATTCAGGTGGAAGTGAAGTCGCTAAAACAGACAAACAAAGTGCTCACTGCAGACTCTGCCTCTGTGCAGCTCCTGTGCAGCTCCTGTGCAGCTCCTGTGCAGCTCCTGTGCAGCTCCTGTGCAGCTCCTGTGCAGCTCCCCGTGCAGCTAACCCACTCCTGTAGGCCCAGATCTGAGAATACTCTTCTGGCCCCAGGAAAAGCCATGTTCCAGCTTCTTCCCTCTGGCAGAAGATGTGGAGGACATCTGGATATGTTACAGCTTCTTCCACAAGCTGTTTTCAGTCTGATCAAAGCACTTTAATGGTCTCTCTCTGGTCTCTCTCTCTGGTCTCTCTCTGGTCTCTCTCTGGTCTCTCTCTCTGGTCTCTCTCTGGTCTCTCTCTCTGGTCTCTCTCTGGTCTCTCTCTGGTCTCTCTCTCTGGTCTCTCTCTGGTCTCTCTCTGGTCTCTCTCTGGTCTCTCTCTCTGGTCTCTCTCTGGTCTCTCTCTGGTCTCTCTCTGGTCCCTCTCTGGTCTCTCTCTAGTCTCTCTCTAGTCTCTCTCTAGTCTCTCTCTCTGGTGTCTCAGTAGTCTCTCTCTGGTCTCTCTCTAGTCTCTCTCTAGTCTCTCTCTTGTCTCTCTCTGGTCTCTCTCTGGTCTCTCTCTAGTCTCTCTCTTGTCTCTCTCTGGTCTCTCTCTAGTCTCTCTCTAGTCTCTCTCTTGTCTCTCTGGTCTCTCTCTGGTCTCTCTCTAGTCTCTCTCTTGTCTCTCTCTGGTCTCTCCCTAGTCTCTCTCTAGTCTCTCTCTTGTCTCTCTCTGGTCTCTCTCTGGTCTCTCTCTAGTCTCTCTCTTGTCTCTCTGCTCTCTCCCTGCTCTCTCTCTCTCTCTGCTCTCTCTCTGCTCTCTCTCTCGTCCAGTTCCCTATGGTTCGCAGACAGAGGAAGGCGTCTGATAAGGATGAGAGACCGTTATTTCACGACGTTAGTGTTTTATCAAAAGGCTCTGACCCACTTCTCCTGCTCCTTCTGGTCCTCCATCGCACATGAATCATACTTTCCTTGGCTTTTCCCTATTTTTACAGCTGTTGAAAAGTCAGATCTGCTCAATCGCTTCAACTCCAAGACCAGGACGAGTTTCTCACAGTCGCCATTTTCAACCTCTCTGTGAAATCCACATTCACCAACATGAGACAATCTTATGTAAAAGAGAGGAATGGCTCCCTCTGGTCTCTCCCTCTGGTATCTTCCAGGTCTCTCTCTTATCTATCTCTGGTCTCTCTCTGGTTTCTCTCTTGTCTCTCTCTCTGGTCTCCCCCTGGTCTCTCTCTGATCTCGCTCTGATCTCTCTCTGGTCTCTTTCTGGTCTCTCTCTGATCTCTCTCTGCTCTCATTCTGGTCTCTCTCTGATCTCTCTCTGGTCTCTTTCTGGTCTCTCTCTCTCTGATCTCTCTTTGGTCTCTCTTTGGTCTCTCTCTGGTCTCTCTCTGGTCCCTCTCTGGTCCCTCTCTGGTCCTTCTCTGGTCCCTCTCTGGTCTCTCTCTGGTCTCTTTCTGGTCTCTCTCTGGTCCTTCTCTGGTCCCTCTCTGGTCCCTCTCTGGTCCCTCTCTGGTCTCTCTCTGGTCTCTCTTTGGTCTCTCTCTGGTCTCTCTCTGGTCCCTCTCTGGTCTCTCTCTGGTCTCTCTCTGGTCTCTCTCTGGTCCCTCTCTGATCTCTCTCTGGTCTCTCTCTGGTCTCTCTCTGGTCCCTCTCTGGTCTCTCTCTGGTCTCTCTCTGGTCTCTCTCTGGTCCCTCTCTGGTCTCTCTCTGGTCCCTCTCTGGTCTCTCTCTGGTCCCTCTCTGGTCTCGCTCCGGTCTCTCTCCGGTCTCGCTCCGGTCTCTCTCTGGTCTCGCTCCGGTCTCTCTCTGACTAAGATAAAAACGATTGATTGAAGTAATTATTACCTCATATTTGATCATTGTTTCAGTGTAAAC